TTCCAGAGCCTACCCCTTGGGTAATCTCATTTTTGGTATCAAGCACACCTCTGGCTTCACTGCCTTCAACTGTGGGGCTTGAGTTGACAGTACTGAGTAAAAGGCTGTTAGAATTTTCATGTTCACCAGAGCACCAGGCAGTTCCCTGAAGTAGATGATCTTAGCTGTCTAAAAATCTTGAAGTCCGATACCTACATTTTCAGAGTTGATGAAGTTGATAATTCTTCTGAAGACACCCAAGAGAAGTGAAGAGAGCCCTTATCTGGGGTGGGGGGCATTACTGTATTGGCTTTCTCATATAGAAAGGCAACAAGCATAAGTCTCCAGTTCATAGAAGGACCAGACTAACTAGATCCAGGGAAGAGGGAACTCATTATCTTTCTGGGTAATACTTAGTTCTCACATTCCTCTCCCTGTAACTCCTGCCAGAGTTCCTGGATGATGACCTTACTGATGACATGATTTGTGTCAAGAAGATTCTGGATAAGGAAGGAATTGACTACTGGTGAATCCCAATTCTATTTTCTACTCTTCCCTTCCACTTCTTTTTCTCACTCCTTTAGTCTAGCACCACTGCCCTCTCTTTCTATCTCCTGGCCATTTAATCTAGAATGTAGTTTCCAAAACAAAACTCATCAAGCAGACTCAGGTTTCCAATTTTCCAACCCTCCCTCATGACACTCCTATTTAGCCAAATTCCTAATAAGCATAGGGAATAGAGGGCTGAGACCCAGGGCTCCTTTCACTTGGACATGGACATCTATTTCTGCTCTTTTAGTCCTAGACCCTGAAATAAGCCCTTGATACCATTTGCGTCTTTACCAGCCCTACAATTTTCTTGAAGTTTTAAAAGTGGGCCCTACCCCACTAGGTGGCTCAGTGTCCCTTGCCATCTGGCTAGGAAATCTTTCTCTAATTTTCATCCACACTTTACCACCTTGGCCCTCCTGGGGGTAAAGCTAGATGGAAGTCCGAGTTAAGATCCAGTCAGCCAACTTGTCCTGTCTCCTTTTCCATTATCAGGTTGGCCCATAAACCACTCTGCTCTGAGAAGCTGGAACAGTGGCACTGTGAGAAGTTGTGAGTGCCTGCTGTCATTGCTGCTTCTGCCCTCTGTATATTCCTGGAATGCCTCTGCCCTAAGGCTACCTCAGTTTGCTTCTTTCTTCCCCCTTGAAGCTGATTTGTCTCTGAGTCCTGAGCCCTGTAGTGACACCATTGGACACTTGAGGACTATTCTCCAGCGATGCATGACTGGTACACTGGACTTTTGACCCTTGCTCAGTGCCCTCCGATAGCACTTTCACTACAACAATGGATTCCACCTTTGTCTTGAATAAAGGGCCTGATTTTGAGTGTCTGGCTGTATTTTCTTCCCAGAGGGAGGAGGAGGAAATAGCATGAGTGAGTGGACACTGAAGCTGTAGGTCATAGTCACCTCCCATTTCTACTGAAGAGGATATAGGATGAACTTAGAAAGATGGAGTTTACCTTCTGTACCAATTCAATTCAACAAACTTATTGATCATCTAGCATATTCAAGGAACTATAGAGGGAGTAAAAAATTGGCAAAAGGGTCTCTTCCCTCAGGGACTAGTAGGAAAGATAAGATAAACATTGATAAATAATTATAATACAAGGAATAATGCATCATGAGAGAGGTTAAAAATGTTTTTCAAGCATTCATAAGAGAAAGGATACTTTATATTGGGGGGGGAGTGCTGTGGGAAAAAGAGATCAAGGAAGGATTCACAAAAGGAGTGGCAGTTAAGCTGGTTTTGAAGTATGGGTTGTATTTTGACTGGTGGAGATGTGGGGTGGGAGAAGGACAGCAAGGACAGGGGTGCCAAGAATCTGAAATGGGTGATTTGAATGGATTGAGGGATTTCCTTACTCTTGAGATAAGGAAATATCCTTCACAAAGTGCTGTGAGAGGATCACAGGACCCTTACAGTCAGCTCAGCAATTGAAGAATCTGGACACCTGGACCTTTTGGTTTGAACCCTGTACTCAATTACTCCTTCTTGCTACTTTGACTTTTTTTCTTTTAAAATTTTACTTCTAAGTAATCTCTACACCTAACGTGGGGCTGGAACTCACAACCTGGAGATCAACAGTCACATGCTCTACTGACTGAGTCAACTAGGTGCCCCTGCTTTGCTTATTTTTAAAGGAAATTTATCCTAATGATTATGAGAAATGTGAAAGGAGAAGAATCAGGAGATTTGAGTCCTAAAGTCTGTTTTTGCTACTCAGTGATGGTGCAAACCTGGGCATGTCATCTCTGTCCTTTGTACTTCAATTTCTTTGTCTTAAAAGGAGGGTTTTTAGTCTAGGTGGTTTTTTTGATATCCTTTCCTGCTTTGACAATCCAGCATTCCAAAACTCCAATTTAAAGTATCACATTTCTGGGTGCCTGAGTGGCTCAGTTGGTTAAGAGTCTGCCTTTGGCTCAGGATCACAGGGTCCTGGGATTGAGCCCCCATCAGGCTCCCTGCTCAGTGGGGAGCCTGCTTCTCCCTCTCCCTTTGCTCCTTTCCCCTCCCCCACTTGTGCTCTCTCTCTCTCACTCTCTCAAATAAATAAAATCTTTAAAGAAAAAAATAAAATACCACATTTCTGTACAGATGGCTAACAGAGACATGAAAAGATGCTCAACATCACTCATCATCAGGGAAATGCAAATCAAAACTCTGATGAGATATCACCTCACACCTGTCAGAATGGCTAAAATTAACAACACAGGAAACAACAGGTGTTGGTGAGGATGCAGAGAAAGGGGAACCCTCTTACACTGTTGGTAGGAATGCAAACTGGTGCAGCCACTCTGGAAAACAGTATGGAATTTCCTCAAAAATTAAAAATAGAACCACCCTACGATCCAGCAATTGCACTATTAGTATTTACCCAAAGGATACAAAAATACTAATTCAAAGGGTTACATGCACCCCTATGTTTATAGCAGCATTATCAACAATAGCCAAATTATGGAAAGAGTCCCAATGTCCATCTACTGATGAATGGATAAAGAAGATGTGATACACACACACACACACACACACACACGCAATGGAATATTACTCAGCCACAAAAAAGAATGAAATCTTACCATTTGCAATGATGTGGATGGAGCTAGAGAGTATTATGCTGAGTGAAATAAGTCAGTCAGAGAAAGACAAATACCACATGATTTCTTTCATATATGGAATTTAAGAAACAAAACAGATGAACATATGGGGGAAAAAAGAGAGAGGCTAACCAGGAAACAGACTCTTAACTATAGCAAACAAACTGAGGGTTACAGGAGGGGAGGTGGATGGGGGGATGGGTGATGGGTTAAGGAGGGCATTTGTGATGAGCACTGGGTGTTATATGTAAGTGATGAATCACTAAATTCTACACCTGAAACTAATGTTACACTGTATGTTAACTAATGGGAATTTAAATAAAAACTTGAAGAAAAAATAAATTACTACATTTTTGAATTAGGTGAGTTATCTTCTACTTCCTGTCTTCTTCCTGCCTTCCTTAGATGTCTAATATAGCTGAGTACACTCCTCCTACCCCTATACCTGCTGGGGCTTTAGACAGTCAGACCATACTTCTCTTGTCTCAGAGACAGCAGTTCCCAAATGAAGTCCCTATGGCCTGTTTAGGGACCTATAGGGCCATGATAGGGGTGGGAGGCCATCCTTCCCATATACTTAATGAAAAGAAACTCTGAGGAAATAACTTGGTATTCATGACATGATTTTAGTGTGAATTTAAAGACAATGTGATGATGCAAGTCCCAGGAGTATACATACCTTCCCTTCCTAATTATGGGCCAAAAGGACTTACCCAATTCTACAGGTTTTAAGAGTGACCCCATTGTATGGGTATGTGTGGGAGGGCAGGGTGAGATGGCCAGTCCTCCCACTGAGCTCACATATCTACTTTTTACTTATTACTCTGCCTTAGTTACCCCTCAGGAAGGCAAATGCTCTGGAAATATAAGGGACCTGCTTCAACAAGTGGCCAGAGCAGAAATGCAAGTAAGGTTGGGACTTGTGCTCAGTCTCATTGCTCCAGTCTACATTCTGCAGAGAAGACCAGGAAATGTCACCTGTGGGTGTACCATATATGAGGATGTAATCAGAAGAGGACTTTGCTAGGGGAAACTGACAACAAATTCATTTTCAGAGAGTATTTTAGCCTGAAGATCAGAGGATCAAGAAAAGAGAGAAGCCAGGGAGCTGGCATGGAAGTAGTCTTGACTGATGCAGACCTCTTGGCCTTTGGTAGAAGCAGGACAGGAAAGTGTTGTTCTCTTATTGAGAACATGTGTGGGAGCTGAAAGTGAGTTGGGATGGCAACTGAGAATTTGTTCTGCTTTCTCCAACTCCTTCTCCTTCCGTAGGCCTGGAACAAGACTTGAACCAGGCAGGGATCTGAAGCTGTCCAGGCTCAGGTGAGTGGTGGGGAGGTTCAGGAAGGGCCATCAGAATGCACCCCTTTCATGGCACTCTATGTGAAGAAGACTCAGAATGGTGCCCAACAATATGGACTCTCTTTCTCCCTTTCTATCCCAATTTCTCCTCCATGCTACTTTCCTCTGACATCTAGATATAATTTCCTTTGGATAAGTACCCAGAAGTGGGATTACTGGATCATATGGTAGTTCTGTTTTTAGTTTTTTTGGGATCCTCCATACTGTTTTTGTGAGAATTTTCTTGGGCCCCCCTGTGGATAGGTGTCATATGTTCCATGGGGGTTTTCCCATCTCAGTTCATTGGGGGAGGACACTGGGGTCAGAGGAACTAATGCTTCTCTGTTGGAAAAGGAGGAACGTTGAGATAGCTGGTGATAGCTCTTCCTGCCTTCTCTTCTGTTGCACAACTGTTTCTCCTGTTACGAGGATGCAGTGGCGTTGGGTTAGAAGGTAAGCTTGGGCTTCCTGGCCAGCAGCTTCCTGAGAGCTGCCTTCACTTCCTGGTTCTTCAGACTGTAGATGAGGGGGTTTAGCAGCGGGTCACCACACTGTACTGCACAGAGAGTACTTGCTCCAGGGCTGAGCCAGATGCTGGGGTCATGTACCTTGAAGGGAACGGCACAAAGGAGTAAACTGAGCTCAGAACAATGGCCACAATACTGTTGGCAACCACGGTCCATCCCATACCAGAGACTTTGCAAAGAGAGTCCTTAGAGCTGAATCAACAAACAGCAGTAGCAGCATCTGTGTGAACAGTGAGAAGTCAGTCATTTCTACCTTCAAATGTCTCCAAACATGATTTATCTTACAAGAGCTGCCCTGAGAAAAAAGAAAGTTCTGTAGCACATCAAGTGCTGCAGGTTAGAATAAAACTAATAATACTTTCATGCATTTCTCTAGTACTTCATACTCTTCAAAACATCTTTTCTTGATAGTTATGATAAAGATGGAGGGATTTTTTTTCTCCTTTTCCCTGTATATACAACTGTATGTTTGCATCTTGTGAGGATTTTTTCTTGCCAAAGTGTATGCTTACTCTAATAATGCTGTCATTGTTCCCAACATTTATGGTTCTGGGAATTACCTTCAGTCATGGCATGTTATTTTATATAATGCTAATGGAACAAACATTTGTCCTTTTATGTACATTTTTCTTTGGCTTAGAAAAGAAGACAAGCTTGATAAATGGAAGTGGAAGATAAACATATGTTAAGCACAAGATTTGAATCCAAAATAATAAGGTTAATTTTGGGGTACATTTTGTTGTGTCTCATGGGAGTATTTCCCAAAGAAGCATTATTATTATTATTATTATTTTGCAACAGGGCCATCATCACTGGAATGTTCTTTGTGGGTTCTGGTGTGCTCGATTTAAAAAGATATTCATTTTACTGTCATTTTTCTTCATCTAATTTATCCCTCCTAACATTTCTGTGAAGTAGGTAAGAGCAATCTTATCGTCTCCTTTTGGTATATGAGGAAAATGAGACAGAGAGAGATAAAGAGATTTGTCCACAGCCTCAGGTGGGCGCTTCTGGATTATTCCTTATCATTCTTTTCCACCCTTGCCTTCCCTTCAAGTAACAAGCAGGTGAGAGAAGTACGGAGCAATTTGTATAAATCCATTTCCAGTTCACTAGTAGACACCATGGGCCATTAATTATTCTGCTCCTAGTAAGTGGGGACTTGTCAGCTAGAGCTGTTTATGTTTGAAAGAAGTATGGTAAGAAAGAGCTTGATGTTTTAAGTCAGTGAGACTTGATTTATACTATGGCTCCATTACTAACTTGTTCTGGGAACTTTGAGAAATTACCTGGTTACTCTTGAAACTTAAGGTCCTTACCTGAAAGTGGGGTTAATAATATTTCTCTTGTAGTATGCTACATACTAAAATTGAGCTTGAGCATGTAAAAGCAGCTGGTGTACAGTAGGTGTCCAATAAATAGTTATAGCATAAGTAAGCTTTGGAGACATCATCTTCCAGTAGGAAAAAAAGATGTCATCTGTTTCAAGAATGATATGTTTTATTGTTTTGTCTAGCACTGAATAAAAATCTACCAAGGGCTCTCTGATTTCCTTTTGAGAGCTATTAATCATAAGTTAATGAAAGTAGGAAATCTCTAGTCCTTGTATAAGCTCATCTTTCAGAGTTAGACAATTGAGACCTGAGAAAGAAAATGGATTTTTTATAGCTCACACAGCCAGTCCACAGGAGAGCCAGAACTAGAACCCAGGCCTTCTGAATTCCAGTACAGTCATTTTCCTACTACTTTGCAAGACCAAGGCTAATTTAGGGCAAGGGATATCCTACATTTACATTTAGGAGGTTATAGTATGACATACCTGAAAACTCCTGAACCATAAAAGATGGTGACCACAAGAAAATGAGAAGAGCAGGTGGAAAAGATCTTGCTCTGACCCATGGCAGAGTTGATTCCCAGGGCTGTCATGATGATACGAGTGTAGGAGCCCAGCAATAAGACAAGCGTACCAAGGCCCAGGACAGCCATGGTGGTCAGGATGGAGGCAACACTAACATAGGGGTCCGAACAGGTCAGCAGGAGCACTGGGGGAAGCTCGCAGGCAAAACTGCGGACAAGATTGGGGCCACAGAAGTGCTGCTGAGCCAGACGGATGCTGTTAACCAGGCCAGTCCCCATTCCTATGGTCCACGATGCTCCCACCAGGCCAGTAAATACCTTCTTATTCATAGCCACCACATACAACAGTGGGTGGCACACAGCCTGGAACCAGTCATAAGCCATGACTGAAAGGAGGCAAGCTTCAGCGGCCCTGGAAAATATGACCAAGGAGATCTGGGTGAAACACTCAAGGGGGGATATAGTCTTCCACTTGGAAAGAAGGTTCTCTAGCAGTTTAGGCACAATGACTGAGGAATAGAAAGCATCCAGGAAGGAGAGGTGACTCAGGAAGAAGTACATGGGCATGTGGCGGTGAGAATCAGCTCTGATCACCAGCAGCATTGTCAGGTTCCCCATCAGGGTCAGGAGGTAAATCCCCAGGAAGAGCACAAAGAGCACAGCCTGGATCTGAGGGTTGTTGGATAGCCCTAGGAGGACAAATGTGGTGACTGTGGTTATGTTGCCAATTTCCACAGAGCATTTAAGTTCTCCTTTCAGAGGGACAAGAATGGAAAAGAATGATCACATAGGTTATCAGTCTCAGAGCATGCCTGGGGATGAGGGATTGGGAGTAAAGCTTCACTGTTGATCCAGGACAGATTGTGTAGCAGCCACACCCCTTCCATGTCAGACCTCCTTAGTCCTTCTCGGCTCAGGGCAAGAAGCTATTGGCCAAGGTGGAGAAGGTGGGAAAGAAGAATGTAGACAATCTGACCTAGAAAGGACAGAGAAGAGAACAGAGATTATCCAGACTGGAGAAGGAAAGGAAAGCATTTGGGAGTAGACTCCAGAGCACTGAGAAGTGCTGTTCTCTAGTTCCAAAAGGAACTGAGCTCAAACCACAGGAGGGCTGACTGGCACAGTGAATAAGTGATGAACATTTTGGCTGACTATCTGGCTGACAGACCATGATGAATGAATGATTGATAGGGGTATTGTGATACCTAATGATGGTGCAAGACTTTTCTCTGCCACAGTAAGTTCAAGAGTAAGTCACTTGAGTTTCTCATTAAAAAAATCCGGGAAGACTAAATGGTTCCGAAGTCCATTCCAGCTTAGAAATTCTAAAGTTTAAAAAAAAAAAAAAGAAATTCTAAAGATTAAGGGACAATCTTCTTTGGTTGTCACTGGTACTAAATAGAAATCCTTTCTCCACTTCTGTGTCAACCCAAGAAGAAATGGTATGTGAGTGTGCTGATTTCATGGAAGCCAGGTGGGAGGAAGCCCTCAAAATGGAGTTGAGGGTTGTGCACATTAGCCACTCCAAGGTCTTCCCATTCCAGAGTTTCTGTGAATTTACATTGTCCACTGTTTTTTCTGTAAACTCAGTACTTTATATCAAAGTCCATGGAGACTGTGCTATTCTCTGAGTTGGTACTTGGGGACTTGGATAAAACCAAGTCAAACTTGAACCATCTTCTGTGCATCACAGGGATGGTAAAAATAGAGAGAGAGAGAGAGAGAGAGAGGAGATAAGAGAGATAAAAGAACACCAAGAACACCTGGTAAAATGTACAGTTATAGGGTTTGGTCTAGACCAGAACAAGTAAAATTGTCACCTTTGTCTTTGACAAGCAACTCAGGAAGGAGATAAGTGAGGATCTGATCTCTATTCATGGCTTGTACACTCACGGGTTCCCTGAGTGGGTAGTTTTAGGAGAAGATGGATATGAATGAGGAGATTTGTCTTCACCTGGGCACCCTAGGCCAACAAGAGATGCTCTCAGTGGATGATAACCAAATGACATCTTTTCCAACACTGGAACAAAAACCCCAGATGTGGCTAGGGCTTCTGTGGGCTATCCTCAACTTTGTCTTTCCTTTAGAAGATTCAGGGGTGGAAGTTCTTAGCAAGGAGATATCCCTATAGTCTTTCTGTCTAAGGGGAAGACTTCTTGACTCTGCCTCCCATATAACAATGGCCAGAGTGACTTGATCTCAGCTCTAGACCTTGGAGAATGAGGGAGCTCCCTGGAGAGGCCCTTAAGCAGGAAGCCTGTTCTGAATGTGAGTAAGGTCTCCAAGGGCCAACTATTCCTTCCCTGAATCACTCTTGTTTCAGTGGGTTGCATCATATAAGAGGGGACCCAGGGTGGCCAATGATGTCTAAAGATAAAAATACAGAGTTCTGAGGATTCCTGGTACAAAAACCTGGAATTTCCTTCCTCCTTCCCTCCTTCATCCTTCTTCCTTCTCATTTCCCTTCCTTCTCATTTTGTTATGTTTTAAATCATATTTATGATTATACAAATAATAGAATGATAAAAGATAGAAAATGAAAAAGATAATGAAGATACTTTAAAAATGAAAAAAGATACTGGGGTGCCTGGGTGGCTCAGTTGGTTAAGCATCTGACTCTTGATTTCTGCTCAGGTCATGATCTCAGTTTCATCAGATTGAGCCCTGCATCAGGCTCTGCACTCAGTGTGGAGCCTGCTTAAAATTCTCTCTCTCCCTCTCCCTCTGCCCATCCCCTCCCCCCCCCACCCCATGGCTCACTCTCTCTCTAAAAAAAAAAAAAAGTTAAGAAAAGAAAAAAGATATTAAAGATATTTTAATTATAAAAGAAGAAAATAAAAATTTATCATGTCATCCAAAATTATTTTATTATTTTATTTATTGCAATTCAAATAAAATCCAAATTGATTAAAAACTTCAAAACAAATTTTTAATTGTGGCAAAAACTTTTTATTGTGAACATGTTTAAACATATACAGAAGTAGAGATAATAGTGTATTGACCCTTCTGTATCCATCATCCAGATTCAACAATTATCAGCTCCTTGACTGCTAACCAGCTTTGAGGACATGGAGCTGGAAAACGTGGTCCCTGCATTCCATGAGCAGGCATGTGTCTAAGACACAGAAAAGTTCTATTACTGAAAGATAGAAGGGAAGGGCAGTACTGAGGAGGGATGATCAGTCTTTTTTTTTTTTAAATATTTTATTTATTTATTTTTAGATAGAGAGTGCTTGCCCCCACAAGTGTGAGGTGGGGGAGGGGCAGAAAGAGAGGGCGAGAATCTCAAGCAGACTCTGGGCTGAGCACGGAGCCCCATGCAGGGCTTGATCATGACCCCTGAGGTCATGACCTGAGCTGAAACCAAGAGTTGGGCGCTTAACTGACTGAGCCGCCCAGGTGTCCCAGATGATCGATCTTTGCCATGGATGAGGATTGAATGGTGACTTATTACCTAGGAGATAACAAAGCAACACTATAGAAGGAACTTGGGCCTTTCACTTGGGACTACCCATACATCTCTGGATTTAAGAGAAGAGTAATCTTCTATTTTATTTGAGGCACTGTATTTTGGGATCTCTTCTATAACAGCTTAACCTTTATCTTCCTAAAATGGATTTCCTAACCAACCCATATTGTCTCCAATGTCCCACCATCAAAAATAAGGTGCAATAACCCCCTTTTCTTTCTATGCCTTCAGGAGCATATTTATGTGTTTGAGAGACTATATCAGGTGCTCTCTGAGCTCCACAGGGTAAAGGGAAGTTTTCTCATTACAAACTGACAAAGGTAAGAGGTAAAACATTTTCCACAACAGCCATTTGAAGATCTATTTCCACATACTCAGAAATAGGTCTGGGCTTAATATAATAACAGAATTCCTATTCATCCAAGGGTACTTTTATAACTTAATACAGATAATAAATTAGGCAAAAAGGCACTGTAATATTTGGTAGAGTTCAGGACCTTTAGTACATCACAAAATATATTTTGATACACCAAAGAAGCAAGACTTGCAAGCAGACGTCTTAGACATAACTAATCTACAGCTATAAAGCTCTACTCTTGAGAGCATTTACATCTTTGGGAGTCTCTCAGTCTCTAGAGGATAAACGCAGGGAGTGGAGTCAGCGTAGCATGCACCCAAAGTCTGTGCTGTATATAAAGATGCACGGCCCAGGGAGAGGATGTCCCCTGCTCCTTCACCCCACGTACAAATTATGTGAATTACGTTGCATAGCACTGGGTCCATGGTCTGAATATACTGTCATGTTCTGCCCTGTTGGTCAAATACCGAATGGCCATGCTTCCAGGCAGAGGATCTGCAGGGTTGCAGTCTGTGAATAAAGAACAAAATGACAGCAAAATCTTTGAAATAGACAAGCAGATATTCCAGTTGTCTTTAATTAGATGGTTTCCTGACTGTTGATATCCCAGAGATAGATTCTGGTGTGGAAGTTAACCTTTGGTGGTTTAAATGGATCATCAGATGAAAATGTGATATCCAGAGAAAATAGACCACCATCGTATACAGAACACGGTGGACCGTTCATAAATGTTGTCTCCCTTGGGCCCAGCACTGCAGTTAGGAAGAGGATGGAGGTTACCTACCACTCTACCAGCAAGAGCCAAGCAGACACAGCTCATTACATACATGTTCTTGTGATAAACAGTAACTAGTCTTTAAGTAAGAGAACTCGACACCACCATTTGTTTTGTCACACTTAGGCTCATTCTAGACTCACTGGGTAGTTGAGGTGGTTGTTTGGGTTTGCTAATTGGCGTTATCCAAAGGAAAACAAACGTATCACATAATTATAACAGGAGGTAGTTTTACAAGTTGGAGTGAAGCCCCTCTGAGGTTAGGCTCGGACCCTTTCCCAGAAACTGGGAGACAGGGGCGCTGTCTTCTCTGATAATTACATTTTGAAGAGTTGGTTCGTAGGTCCTTGAGAAAGACATTACCGAGTAATAAAGCTGGCAAGGGACTTTTTAACTTTTAAAAAGATTTACATTTGTTTCAAAGAGACAGAGAAAGAACTTACAAGTTTTCTAAAGTAAATGCTCTAAGAAAAGGGAAGAGGGAGAGAAGTCTCTTTATTTTTAGTGGGGGAATTAGCCTTTTATTTTTAATTTGCACTTGCTCTGCCACCCCTGGTTGAAAAGGCTCTCATTTCTCCACTGAGTTTCCTTTGTGCCTTTTAAAAGTCAGCCCACTCATTTGTGTGGATCTGTATCTGGATTCTCTGGTTTTATTGCTCTACATGTCTATTCCTTTGCTAGCCTTTTGCAGATACAACACTGTATTACATACTGTAACTTTATAGTAAGTCCTGAAATCAGATGATGGGAGTCGTCCAATTTTGTTCTTTCTCAGAATTGTTTTGGCAATTTTAGTACCCTTGCCTTTCCAGCTTCACCAGTTTCCACAGGCTAAGTAAGGTTTGAACCCTTTTCTGTGGCTGGAAGAGGGCTGCACCAGCACCCTCAGGTGGGGACTGATGAATTTCCTGCTTTGGGATGAACATTTTGTTCCACAAGGGAGCTAGGGGAGCTGGGCCCGGGGGGGATTTGATGGTGGTTGCGGTTCCCTGACCCCAGCCCGCCCAGGAGGACAG